CTTGGCGCGTGGCTCACGACCTTCTCCTCCTGGGGGTTTCCCGGGCTCGCTGTCAGGCTCAGGGGCCTTCGAGGGGACGCCCGTGTCACCCCAGGTGCCGTTTCAGTCTTAGTGGTCATTTAGTGACTCAGCAGACTGGAAAAGGCGCAGAGACAGCCGGGCACCTAGCAGTGGGAAATCCGTGAGGAGCCCTCCGGGGACAGGTGTCCCACGGCCTCCCTGCCCTTGATGGCCCTTGGGGGGCAGGCGGGGGAGGCCCATAAACAGAGTGTGAGCTTTCCCGCCTGGCAAAGCCATCCTCACAAACCAGTCACCAAGCCTGAGTTGAGCCAACTTTTCTTTGCTGCTTCAGAGATGAGCCGATGGAAAATCAGCCCAAAGAGGAGATGCAGGTGTTCAGTTACAGATGTCACTGGGCCGCACCCGCCACGGGGGATCACAGCCCCGCAGTTAAGAGAGAGGGCTCTGCAGCCACACACCCGGGTCCAGGGCACCTCCTGGCTGTGTGCCTCCAGGCTGGTCACCTACCTGCTCTGTGCCTCAGTATCCTCACCTGTAAAATGGGGGTTCTACAGTGGCGGGGACCAGGAGGAGGAGCTGGGATGAAACACAACAGCTGACCTGACCCACGGAGCCACGTTTCACGTGTCTATTTCCGTGAAGAATCTGAACCACCTTTTACGTCTTTCAACTAAAAACGTGTTCGTTAGCGTTTCACTCCGTTTGATCTTTGCCGACTCTTGGCTGACACCACACGGAGGCCATGCCTGTTGAAGTTGTGATTAAAAGAAGTGCCTGGCAGCAGGAAGGCCTCTGCTCTGCGCAGCCCTCGCCGGATGGAAGCCCCAGGGGGCCGTGTCCCCCGGGCGGGGAGCCCAGGGATGCGTGAGTCAGCCAGCCGGCCCCATAGGACAGACGGGGTCGGTGGCCCAGCTGGCTCCCACACAGCCAGGCCCAGCGCCCTGCAGAGGCCGAGCCCTTCCGGTGCGTGCTTCCATCACGTGGGTATAGCTGCATTCCCAGAACTGGCCCCCACCTGGCACCCAGGCCCCCTCCTGAGCCGTGGGTGAGCACCTCCCGTAGGCGGAGGTGAGGGGGGCTCAGAAATGTAACCGACACTTGTTTCGAAACGGAAGGGGCTCTCCAAGTGAGCACCCTGATGACCCGCAGGGATCCGAGCGCAGAGGCTCTGTGCGGGGCGGTGGCCCGGCCGTTCCATCAGCAGATGGGCTGAGGCCTTACAACGCGCTCAGCCAGTGCCCAGCCGTCCCTGCCAAGATCAGCCCCGGCGGCCGCTGCCGGAACCCGTCTGCCAGCCTGGCACAGAGCCTGCCCGACGCTGCCACGCTTCTGACCTCACCGGTCACCACCTTCGGGAGAGCAGCTTTCACAGTCACCGTGAACCCGGACTGCCCATCGCCCACACGCCCCTTCCGCACAGCCTCAGCCAGGCTGGCCCCGACGTCAGTGGCGTCTGCTGAAATGGGCCCAGCACCCTGCTGGTCAACCAAACACCACCACCCACAGCTCAGGGCAGAGGGAAGCACGGTACGTGTCTCGTGGACACACGTGTTCACATCACTCCCACCTGTGGGCACCCCGCCCCACTTTTAGGTGGAGAAATGGAGCCTAGAAAGGGTGAGATCCTGTACCCATCTGCCAGGGACCGCACCCCCCAGCCACACCCCTCTGAAGGCCAGCCAGTGCGCTCAGACCAGCACCCCCAGGGCTGTGTGGGGACCCGCACCCCACAGGACAGGGACCCGCACCCCGCAGGATAGGGACCCGCACCCCAGGATGGGAACCCACACCCCGCAGGATGGGAACCCGCACCCCGCAGGATGGGGACCCGCACCCCAGGATGGGAACCCGCACCCCGCAGGATGGGGACCCGCACCCCGCAGGATGGGGACCCGCACCCCGCAGGATGGGAACCCGCACCCCGCAGGATGGGGACCCGCACCCCGCAGGACGGGGACCCGCACCCTGCAGGATGGGGACCCGCACCCCGCAGGATGGGGACCCGCACCCCAGGATGGTGGGAACCTGCACCCCGCAGGACGGGAACCCGCACCCCATAGGACGGGGACCCACACCCCGCAGGATGGGGACCCGCACCCCGCAGGATGGGAACTTGCACCCCGCAGGATGGGGACCAGCATCCTGCATGATGGGAACCTGCACCCCAGGATGGGAACCTGCACCCCACAGGATGGGCCTGCACCCCGCAGGATGGGGACCAGCGTCCTGCAGGATGGGAACCTGCACCCCGGATGGGGACCTGCACCCCAGGATGGGGACCCGCACCCCGCAGGGCTGCGTGGGGATGGTCCAGTGAGGCAGATGGGCTGGCAAAACCCTGCCCCTGTGACTGGTGTTACTTGAAGTTTTGCAAAAACTGGACACAGAGGCCCAGAGCCAAAGGAGCTGAGATTAGCAGAGGCCAGGGTGAGCGGGGGTGGGGGTGGGGGTGGATCGGGCGTGGGGACAGAGAAGTGGCCAGTGCTGAGCCCCCAGCCAGCAGGGCTGCCAAGGGGCCTAGAAGGGCAGAAAGAACCACAAACCGAGCAGGGGGCTGCGTGACCCCCCCTAGAAGAGGAGGTGGACCCAGCTAGGGCAGAGGTGGAGGGACCAGGAGCCCTGGTTCCAAGAAGGTGAAGACGGGCAGGGCGGCACCATGCCCGGGCTCAGACCTCCTGGTGTGAATCACAGCTCCCCCCGCACTAGCTCTGCGACCTGAGCGAGATGCTTCATTTCTGAGCATCAGTTTCTTCACCTGTGAAAGAGGAGGAACATCCTCCTCGGGCCGATCCGAAGAACTGAACCAGCTGATAAAGGCGAAGTGCTCCCCACGTGCCCGTCACAGGGCAGGTACCCAGCAGGCGTTATCGCGGAACAAGGGCCAGGTCCCAACAAAACAGCAGCTGTGCTCGCCCGGTGGCCCTGTGCCACGTAGGGACCCTCACAACCCCAGGGCAAGGGGGACATCATCATCGTTCCGCCACTTACACAAGGGGAAACTGAGGCTCAAAGACAAGAGTTGACATACGTGTTGCTAGTTATGCATCACTTACCAGGTGCCACGTATTCATTCGTTCACGCCCCCCCAGCCTCAGGAAGCAGGCGCTACAATGACCCCATTTCACAGGTGGGAAACCGGAGAGAGGACAGTAGCTGTGAAGGTCACACAGCTAGTGAGATGCAGACAGCAGAGGGGAGCTCAAGTCTCTGCCGCTCCAAAAGCCATGCTCTTAACAAAGCAGGAGGAGGGGGAGGGGGAGGAGGGGAGGGGGAGGGGAGGGAGAGGGGAGGGGGAAGGGAAGAGAGGAAAGGGGAGGGGGAGGGGAGGAGGAGGGGGAGGGGAGAGGGAGTGGGGGAGGAGAGACGTGGGAGGGGAGGGGAGGGGGAGGGAAGGGGTAGGAGGGAAGGAGAGGGAAGGGGAGGGGGAGGGGAGGGGAGGGGAGGAGGAGGGGGGGGGGGAAGTAGGAGAGGGAAGAGGAGGGGGAGGAGGAGGGAAAACATATGACCCAGGAGGTCCTGAGAGAGCCGCAAGGGTGAGTGTGGGTGCTGGGATGAGCAGTCCCCCCAGTACCCACACCCCACAGACCAGGGCCCCCGGGTCAGGGCAGTCATGTAACCAAACACAGAATGTGCCAGCAAGGGTGCAGCTGCTCCTTCTGTGGAGCATGCAGGGAACACTCTGACCCCACCCAGAATCCCGGCCGGAGATGCTGCTGTGTTTACAGAGGACTCGGGCCAGCTGGTCGCCAGGCTGATTCCTGCCAGAGGAGCCAGCTGTAGCCTCCCCAGCCACGACGCGCTGGGGAGACGGCTCGGCCGGGGCTGCTTGCGACCCAACGCCACCCAGCGTGTCCTCCCCACTGGTGGCCTCTCCGCTCCAGGGACCACCCAGAGGAGCAGGCCCACAGGCAGAACAGCTGAGGAGCGAGGCCTGCTGCCGCAGGCCACTCTGAGTCACCCTTCGACGGAGAGGGAGGGAGCGCGGACCCCACGTCAGCAGCAAAAGGACTCACCGCTCCTTCCGGACTCCGCACAGCGGCCGAGCAGACAAAGCGCAGGGCTGCTCCGCTGCCTGAGTCGGTGCTGACCAGGCCTCTGCCTAACGGCTGTTCCCAAGCTTCACTTGGGCCTTGGCCTTTCCCAGCGCCCCCTCCTCTGCTTTGACCTCGGGCCTTAGCCACCTACTGGTCTGGGAGGAGACCTGAACCTCAGTCCAGTCCAAGGCCCCTTGAGACGGTGACCGAAGGGCTGCTTCCCCTCTGCTCTGGGCAAACACCCCCGGTGTGAGCCTCCACGGGCCCTCGGCTGTGCAGCATCCACGCTCGGGTTCTCAACAGGCCCCTCGGGTCCAGCTTCCCCAACTCCTGGAAAGGTGGAGACGGAGGAGCCCAGAGCTGCCTGAGGCTGTGCCTGCTCAAGGACACTTGGAGGGGCCCCTGCTCTACTCCCCGGCTTACAGTCTACTTGTTATACCAGAGCCCAGGACACCTGGAATCAGCATCCGCCTGGGCTTTCTGGGGACTCAGAACAGGACAGTTTGGGGTCGCATCCTGGTCTCCTCAAGGGTCTCCCTTCCAGAAAGAGACCTGGTTTCTCGGCTGAACCCTGGGAGCAGGGCTGCGTCTGGCCTGTTCTGCCTCCACCCTGGACACAGGGCCTGAGCCAGGTGTAGAGCAGGACACAGAGCATCTCTGCTGACCAACCGCTTGGTGTGAGGTCGACAGGTTCCCTGCCGTCTGAAAAGCTCCGGTTGCGAACGCAACCGTCCTCACCGCCAACCGCACAGCCGGCCGCCGAGCACCGCGGCCGACACCAGGAAGGGTGACTCTGAAACCACCGAGCAGCCTCGAGCTCAGCCCTGCGTGGACAGCGCGGCTTCGCGAGGAGCCCACTGACGCTGACACCACAAGCGCCGTCGGGAGAAAGGGAAAGACGCACACCGGAAGGCCGAGTATGAAGACGTACTTTAATAGCTCAGATTCAAAGTCACCTGCTCCCGGTTCTGGGGACATTCCCCAAAGAGGCGACCGGCCCGTGGAAGCCAGCGCTCACCCTCCCGCGGCCTCGGCGTCTCCCCTGGGCGCAAGGCAGACGCGCCAGTGCCCTCCGGCGCCCAGGGGCCTTCCCCGTAGCCATGCGCTATGCTGACTGCTTCCCGGCCTAGGATGCTGAGTCGGCTAAGGGAGGGGACCGAGGTCGCTGTCACAGGAACAGCCCAAGCTGGCGAGGAAAGCGCGGGCACACACACGATACAGGGGCGTGCCTCTACAGAGTACAGCTGTTCTGCCTGCAAACTATCAGGGAGGAGCCTGGCGGCCAGGGCGCGTCTGCTGGACGAGCAGCGTGGCGCTCGGGAGTCGGGTGTCCCAGCTGCCAGCTCAGAGTCACCCGCATCGTCCCCTGAGGAGTCTCTGACGGAAACGTGGAGCCCGGCCCATGCCCCGTCTACGGGTCGATTTCCTCGGGGATCACCGTGATCATGACGTCTTCATTGCCCCTGCGCACGACCATGTTCAGGGCGCTTTCCTTCCTAATGACGTCGCTGACGTCGTTGGCAGAGGCCACCGACTGCCCGTTGATGCTGATTATGACATCGTTTTCCTTGAGCCCGCCGCTGTAACACAAGGGGGGGCAGCTAATGAATGTCCGCCTGTCTCCCTGCCGCAGGGAGGACCCGCCTGGCGCCGACGGAGGCACAGGTTAGGGCGGAGGTGCCCAGAGCTAACGGGGCGGGTGGCGGTGAATGGGTGTGACTTAAAGCACTGATGGGCTGCTTTACTTCCCTTTGGGGTGATTAGGACACATCGTCAGCCGTGTCCCTGGCAGAAGTGCCCGGCAGCACCTGTCCAACCCATGGCGGACGGCCCGCGAGGGGGAGAGGGGGCGCTATAGTCCATCTGCCACAACCAGACCCGCTGCTCTGACAAGGACGGCGAGCGGGTCTATCGTGGGACCTTCTGTCCTGTCCTTGCTGCTGTGACTTGAGCTCTGTCATGTGACAGCATCGGATAAGCCGTCCTGGCCCTGACGGTCTGGCCCAGAGGTCAGCTCCCTCTGTCTGTCAAGGCTCAGAGGGAAACACTCGTCTTTGCAGCCTGGCTTCTCTGTCACAGCCTCTGGCTCTGCTGAGAGGGCCCCGCTGCCGCGCAGACCGTCCTTAATCCGCTGGGAACCGCCGCGCCCCAGAACCCTTCACTCGCGGACACCGGGGTTTGAATTGCACACGGTTTTCATGTGTCATAAAGCACTGCTTTTCTCTAAAATGTTCTCAAACCCTGGCCGGTTTGACTCAGCAGTTAGAGCGTCGGCCTTCGGACCAAAGAGTCTTGGGTTCGATTCTGGTCAAGGGCACGTACCTCAGTTACGGTTCATCTACGGCCCTGGTTGGGGTCTTGCAGGAGGCGGCCAGTCAATGTGTCTCTTTCACATCAGTGTTTCTCTCTCTCTCTCTCTCCCTCCCCACCCCCACTCTACCTGAACATAAATGAAAAAATATCCTCAGGTGAGGATTTTAAAAAAATTAAAACATAAAATGTTTTCAAACATTTAAAAATGCAAAACGTATTCTTAACCGATGGTGATAAAAGCAGCCGCCCCCAGCCCGGCCCCCGGGAAGCTGCTGGCCCTGGTCCACCTGGCCCTCTGGACACTGTCCACGCAGGGAACGGGTCCTGCCTGTCGGCTGAGCTCCTCTGCACCTGACGGCTGTTACCTGGTTGTTTGCCTAGAGGTGTGCACAGGTGTGGCCTGGTGGCCAACAGACACGACCAGAGAAGGCGGGGGTCTGTCCTGAGGCCTAGAACAGGACCACTGCCCGGGTCTCAGGGACCCTGCTCCTTAGACCCTCTCCCCAGCGGGGCTTGTCTGGGACACTCCTAAGGCATCCACACGCTCCCATCTGGACAGCCCAGGTGCAGCAGGGACTTTTGAAGACAGAAACTCCCTGCTGCTGCTGAGTCCTGAGCCAAACCAGGTCGAAGGCCTGGCCGGCAGGCGGACCCCGGACGTCCGATCACTCTGTCCACGATGCTCACAGTCGCCTGCGCTGACAGGACCCCCAGAACCACGAGGATATCAGGAAGAGGGGGCGTCATTCACACTCACGCTTCGGCTGGGGTGTCGGGAATGACTTCGATGATATACGCCCCCGAAAGCACGTCCGGGAAGTCTCGGTGCCGGTCCTTCAGCTCCTTGGCTTTGCTGCCCAGGAGGAAGAGCACCCGTGTGAAGACGGGGCGTCAACGCTGCCGCCGCGGAGACCCGGCTCCCACCCCCCTTCTCCTGCTCCAACGTGAAATCCGCCCTGATTCTGCGCCTCCTGGACTCGGAGCCTTACTGCGTAGCAGCGAGAGAAGCGTCTCGTCATTGTCACTCATTTTACTGGCTGCCTGGCAGCTGCCCCTGCAGGAGTCCGTGGAGAGCGGTGGGCTGGGCTGGGGCCTCAGCTCTGCCGCCTTCTAACTGTGACCTGGTCAGCGGCTTACCCTCTCTGAGCTTAGTTCGCTCAAGTGCAAAACAGGGATGATGACCTGCCTCTATACACGGCCGTGTGGGGATGAGAGATCGTCCAGGGACAGCGCCAGACCCAGCCTGGCGCCGAGACGGTAGGTGATCAACGGGGCCTGCCGTGAGCACCCACTGAATCACCCGGTCCCCACCACACACCCAAATGCCTGCGCCGTTACCTCATCCTGAACAGCAGGAAACGGAGGCGTCCAGAGGCCAAATCGTTCCCCAAATCACAACCAGGGAGAGGCAGAGCTCAGCCGAGAACCCAGGAGGCCGGATTCCAGGGCTTACACCCCTGTCTCCCGCAGTTCGAGACCAGCACTGACCTGCCTGTCAGTCTTAGCGAAGAAGGGAACCAGCGTCCCTCTGTGTCTCTCTCTTGTAACATGGGCTCACAACTAACTGCCAGGTAATCGTAACAATGTATTAATACCTACGTTACTGTGTTTCCCTCTTTGCCCAGTTTACCCACAACAGTTTCAACTACACCCTTAGTCACCAGGATTTGTGCAATTACATCAGATTTTCTCATCAAGGGTGAAGAACACCCTGGCAGCCACATGCCCAGCTCGCTCGGGAAAACAAGCCCATCAGTCAGGCGGGCCTGACCCGGATTCCTGCAGCCACAGCCCAAGGGCAGGCGAGCTAAGGACGGGCAGGGCGCTGGGCAGAGGGCGAGGCCTGGGGCGGGGCCTGGGGCACTCCCGGAATGTGGGTGTCAACACAAGTGCTGCGAGCCAGGCCGGAGGGAGGGTGACCAACGCCCCCTGCTGCGCAGGCCTGCCTTCAGAATGGGACAAGGGCCACTCCTCTCTGAGTGTTACCTAGCTCGAACCCAACACTGAGCTCTGGGGCAGCGGGAAGCTTCTTCTCAATGAACACCTTCCAGAGGTCGGCGTCACTCGGATGGGACACAGACACGGCATCCTGTTACCCACCTGGATGTGAGCGACATCATCCGGATGCCGATGTACTTCTTCTTCGTGATGGCTTTGCCTGGTGGGACATCGAAAGGACAGCAGAGGTCAGCGGCTGGTGACTGTGCTGGGGACGCCCTGCGGCTCAATCCCCATCCGCAAAGTCAGGGCCCGGCGGGCGTACGGAGGCTGTGGTCCAAACTCTTCCGGGGGCTGGGAAGTCCTGTCACTTCAGTTAATGGCTGAAAACCTAGGGGGATCCTCGACTCCCCTTTGTTCCATCCTGGCCTTTGATAAGGGGTCTATCCTTCCTGCAGATCCAGAATGCGGGCCCTTCCCTCCACCCTGGTCTGGACAGCTGGAAGAGTCTCTTAACTGGTCTCCCATTGCCACCCAGCCCTCAGCAGTCACCTCCGCGCCCCGAGAGTGACCTTGCAAAGCAAACAGATGGTGGACTTTTCTGCTCTCCAGTAGCTGAAAGGCAAGCCCAGCCTCACCGTGGCCAGCTGGGACCTGGCTGACGTCTTTCCACACCCGTGTGTGCACTGCATCCAGCCGCTAGACCCACTCTCGGGGCCTGAGCCCGCTCTGCTGCACGGGGCGGAGGCCTGGAGCCCGCTGGTCCTCGGGCAGGACACCCTCCCTGACACCCCTGCCCGCAGGCTCCCTCTCCTGCAGGTCTGTGCGCTCAGGCGGTGTCACGGGCTGCCCCTCCCCCACTCCCTGCCTCATCTCCTGGGAGGCACTTGTCATCTGAAATCATCTTAATTGTTTGTCTGCTGTCAGTCTCCCCCTCCCCTGGGCAGAAGGTAAACGTCACACCTGCAAGGGACCCCCAGCCTGACCCCGAGCAGAGGGCCCATAAACGTCTGAGGAATGAATGATCTCCCTGAATCTCAGCTTTCTCATCATCGAAACGGGCTGCTAGTCCCACCCGACAGGCAAAGGCACTGGCAACACCGTGAGTGGCACAGAGATGATGGGCAGAAATGCCCTGGTCTCGTGTGCCACAGGTCAGAACTGGCAAGCCTGTGACCTAGCCCGGGCACGCAGGCGTCCCCTCCCTCTGAGACACCCCGGGGGGCTCGGTGTCCTGCCCCGGCGCAGGCCCCCGGAGCAGCCAAGCCCAGGCCTGCGGGCTCTCTCTTCACCTTTGGCCTGTCGGTCATGCGACTCCGTCAGGAACTTCTTAATCTTGTCAGATGGGATCGCGAAGGAGATCCCGGCCGTCACTTTCAGAGTGTTGATTCCGATCACTTCGCCATCCTGAAAGGGAGACCGGCATGCCTGGGGCCCAGCAAGGTGCACCCAGGAAAGCGGGAGGCTCGGGTGGAGGGAGTCTGAGCCGGGGTCTGGGGGAGAAAGCACTTGGGCAGCGGCAAGTCCTGCTCAGAAGGGAGACCCGCCCTCGGGGGCCCCTCGGGGGTCCCCACGCTGTGAGCACCGTCTCGAGCAGTTTCAGGGTCACTCTGCTCCTTTCGCAGGGAGCTGCCAAACCTGAGCCCAGAACCCGCTGTCCACACCCTCCTGACCCCCCAAGTCCAGTGATCCCAGGGCTCCTGCTGATACCAGGAGGACTGGGTTACCCACTTCATTTCCAGAAAATGCATTTCGGATGGCAGCCTTCGGGCTGCGGTGGGGCAGGGGGCAGGGACAATGGCCTCGTCCCCTCTGCTTGTCTCAGGCCAGCGTTCAATCAGGGAAGAAGCCCGCTGACGGGGGGACTGTGATTCTAGAGGAGCACGCGGTTCAGTCACCGCCACTCGACGGGACATGGTCGTGGCGCGACAGGCCCGCCACTCGCCATTCGGCCACTGTTCCGAAAGCTACTGTAAATGGATGCTCAGCTCGGCTCGAAAGGGACGCCGGCCAAGAGAGGACATGCACCTCTCTGCACACTTCCCCTGGCGCTGAGAACTCAGCCCCCAACTCCGGGGCACCCTCCGGAGGCACCCCCATCCGGGCCTTGCTAAACATGTCTCCGTTTCGTCACCTACAGGAGGGGTGAGCCCGGTGACCGCTGAGCTGTGCCCCGGCTCTCAGTGTGACTCTGAGGCGCCCCTAAGCGACATCTGTGGAGTGGGGAACCCTCGCTCCCGCCAGGTCCTGAGGGAGGGCTCCTGGCCAAGACAGAGAGGTGGACACGCCAGGCCGGCCGCCCCAGCAGCCTGGAGGGCCCCCTGGAGGACACGCCTTTCTGGGCCAGACCAGAGCGCTGACGCCTCCGAACCAAGGCTCCTGCAGCGGCCGACCTCCACTGACCAGCTCGCGACTTCCAGATACCACGGGTGTGCCCACGGGCATGCCCTCCAGCCCTCCCTCTTCCCCGACAGGAGAGAAGGGTGATTTGCAAGGACACGGGACACTCACAGATTTCACTTCGAAAGGATGAATGTGCTGGGCAAGGTCATGTCCCCCAGAAAAGAAAGAATAGTAAGTAAATAAATAAATGATCAGGCCTTACCAGGTTCACCAGCGGGCCTCCCGAGTTCCCGTACTGAAAGCAAGCACACGGAGAAGGTTACGAGTCCTGTCCCTCCACGCTCCAATCTACATCCCTGCCTGGCAGGTTCCCGAGTGGGTTCTTTCTGTGATTTGTCCCCGTTACCCTATTATTTTGCTGGGGGGTGAAAAGGAAGGACCTTAACCATGTTCGGAAAGTTCTAGAGACGCCATAAATGGGATTTCGTTTTTTGCTCCCGAGCTCAGAGTCCAGCTGTGAACTCCCTGAAACACCCAACACGACCTTCTTTCGGCAGCAGCCCGGCTGCCCACCTGCGGCTGCACCCCAGGGTTTCAGTCTGCACAGCCCCCCATGCACCCCCACTTTGCTGCTGGGGCTGGAAGTCCACGTGGTTTCCATTGCTTTGCGCAGACCACAGGACAGCTTGGGAACGGAGCCTGTTCGAGCAGAGACATGCTGTGCTTCTTATTTATCACACAGATGTCGGGGTGGGGGTGCGCTTTACAAACATGAACCCTGTCGGGAGACAACCGGGAAACATGGTTTACAAAGACGGTGTGGAGCCACCCCCGGCCTCATCAGACACCGAGTGGCATAGGGGTAGCACTCAGGATGCACCCCAAGGCACAGCCAACAGCCGGGTCTGCGGGGCCCGTGCCAGGGTGAGGGTCCCGCCTCCACAGCAGCCCTACTGAGGGCCCCGCGGGGCTCCTCTGGGCTGCAGACCTTGGCAAACCCAAGTCCCTCATGACAGCCCTGCAGTCGCTGCAGGGCTGGGGCCCGGCTGCAGCCTCATCGGCTGGAGGCTTCCCAGGGACCTCCTTGCACAGCACCTGAGGGTTGGACCCGCCCTGGCTCCTAGGCCTGACTTTCCAAAAGCCCGCCCAAGCCCAGGCGGCAGGGCCTGGCTCACGTTGATGATGGCGTCGGTCTGGATGTAGTCCATGTCGGAGTTCCGGAGCCCCAGCTCCTTGCCGCCGCGCTGGGTGGTGCTGACGATCCCGGTGGTGACCGTGTTCTGAAGGGAAAACGGGCTTCCGATGGCGACCACGAACTCCCCCGGCCGCAGCTCCGAGGAGCGGCCGAGCAGCAGCACAGGCAGCTTCCCCTAGAGACACAGGGCTGGCGTCACTGCTCTGGGCCCCGCCACGGACGGCACAGATGCCACGGAAGCCACGCCACAGCGGGCTTGCGGAAACCCGGCAGCCCTCCACCCTCCTGGCCCGGGTCACACTTCCTTCCCACCCCGCTGACCAATGCGCCGCGCAAGCTGCTGCGAGCACGGAAGCCGCCGGCCGAGGAAAACGCAAGAAGGTCCCTGGAGGCCACCTGGGCCGCAGCCCATCTGGGAGCGACCGGCCAGATTCACTCAGAACCTGAGACCAGCAAACAGAGGGAGGCACGTTTCAGACTTGGGGCAAGACTACCTGGGGTGCCCTGAGACTGCAGGGAGGACCCCGAGCTCACGCCCCTGGCTGGAGGGACAGGCTGGAGCTGCCCCCACACCACAGGCACCTCTTCCTGAGTCCGGCACCCCGAGTGCTCAGGCGGGGACGGCGAGCTCAGCTTTGTGGGTCCCGTGCTGAGTCCCTGCCCCTCTGGGTGAGGGTCGGGCAGCAAGGCATCCAGGATTCCCAGACGCCCAGACCCAAGAGACAGGCTCTCCCCTTGTCTGCAAGGGTCCTCCACCGCCACCTCTGCCCCTGGCCGGGGCAGGCCGAGTGAGCCCGACCCAGATGCCCTGTGCAGGCTGGCAGAGTCGAAGGCCCAACAACTCTTCAAACCCAAGCAGAACAAAATGAAGCCAGCTCGCATCACCGGGGCAGAGAGCCGGGCTTCCATTGGGGGGGGGGGGGGGCTGGGCCCTCCCCAGAGCCCAGGAGTCCTTTGTGCCTTTGTTCTGTGAGTCAAATGGGCAACTTCCCCGAGCTCTGTGGGCCAGGCCCAGAAGGCCAGAGCTAGGTCCGCTCCGTGCTCGTCGGAATGTAAGAGTCCTCATGTCCGTCCACCTCACCAGAGAAGAAGGAAGGGGTCCGGGGGGTGGGGGGTTGGGGTCCAGGGGGGTCCAGGGGGGGGTCCAGCAGTGACTTCAGCATGTCCTCTGCCAGGGACAGAGCAGACACCAGCTGATGGACCATTTCACAGATGAAGAAACTGAGGCTCTGAGCCACTGGGTGGCTTGAGTCAGAGAGGGGCCTAAACTTGGGGCTGGCACCCTGGCCCCAGACTCTCTCACCCACACAGCACCTGGCCACAGAGACTCCCTCCCGCTCCCACAAAGGGAACTGCTCAGGAGGTGGCTGGGCCTGCACGGTCAGAGGAAGGAAGGGACAGTGGAGGGGGGATCTAAGGCCTGGAACTGACTAAGACGCGTGAGGAGGAAGGCCCCGCAGACCACAGGTCCTGACAGGCCGGGGAGCACAGGGCCGTGGGGAGCACAGGGCCGTGGGGAGCACAGGGCCGTGGGGAGCACAGAACCCTGGCCGGGCCGCGAGAAGAGCCCGGCCCGAGCTCACCACCACTGCAGGCTCAGCGTTCTCATCTGGAAAATGGGATCATGTCGCCGTCCAGCTCCTCAGCCAGCCGTGAGAACTAAGGGACTTGAGACTGGCACAGAGCCTGGCTCCTTTCAGGCCTCACGTGAGTGGGCCGGGTCGGCATCACGTGAGTACTGACGACTGTTCTTGGTGTTGGGGTCTGTGCAGACGCCATGGAGGAGCCCTCACCAGTTAAACTCCCACAGGCGAGCCCGGGTCACCCGGCCTCCCACCCAGCAGAAGGCTGCCTGAGGCCAGCGTGCAGGGTGCTGCTCCCAGGGCAGGCCTGCACCCCCGACCCCCGCTCATCGTCGCCCGGCACCCAGCAAGCTCAGCACGGCCTGCTGACCCTGCGCCCAGCCAGCGTCCCTGCCATCAGTGACCTCATCCAACAGTTGCAGTACAGCGGGTGGGCGGAAGGAGTCAGGGTCAGTGATGGGGGACCCACCGGGACACTCCTCCTCCTTCAGGGCCAACTTCGGCGCACGTGGTCGAGGTCAAACACAGAAGGGTGGGCTCAGCCCACGACCGCTCTGCCACAGGCTGGGAACATGGGAACGTTACGCGCGCCTCCGCCTCCGCGCGCCTCCGCCCTGCGCGCCTCCGCCTCCGCGCCCGGCTGTCCAGCGCGCAGGCCTCGGGGCGGCCAGGAGGCGGAGGGGCCTACAGGAAGCGCTTTCTCCATGTCCATCTCCCTCCCCGAGTCTGAGCTCAGGCCCAGAGACCGGGGAAGGCCCAGCACGTCGGGGGTGCTGCATGCAGAAGAGGTGAGGGCACGCCCCTCCCTCCCCCCGGCAAGGGCCTGGTGCTGCCCAGCCACACTGGCTGGGTAGGGCCAGCCGTCCAGGGGACGCTTAGAGACCCCGTGGACAAGCGTGGCTCCGGCGCATTGAGGTCATCCACACCCGGGTGACCGCGTGGGCTTGGCCAAGTGACCGTCAGGGGTCCAGCCAGAGACTCCTGAGACCCCTCGCCACTGAACCGAGGAGGAAAGGCAGGTCACGGGGCCACGGGGTCAGCGCCGTGCCAGTGGGCAGCACAGTGCTCACCTCGCGGATTACAGACACTCACGGGGAAACAGCCAGGGGACGCAGGACCAGGGGAGCGGGTGGAACGGGAAGCCTGAACGGAGGAGGAGGAATGAACCTTCCGCCTCCCAGATGACGAAGCGCTTCCATGACCCCGGGGGTTCCAGCGTACCTCCCCCCACTGTACAGATGTGGAAACTGAGGCTCAGAGGAGCGACTTCCCATCTGTCCTGGATCTGAGGAGCAGCTTGGCTGAGCTAGAAACAGGCTTCCCAGCTCGGGAGACCTGCGCCCCCAGGACGTGTTGACCCCGGGTTCTGCTCGCAGGCAGGGATCTCGGCCAGGGAGAGGGGCCCGGCCGGGTTCATGGCTCTCCGTGAAGTCGGGGTGCCTTTCCAAGGCCAGTGTTTGGGAGCCGCTGGCCCACAGTGTCAGGCTCCCGTCTGTCCCGGATCCGAGCAGACTCCCCCCGCCTCCAGCTTCCCCTCGGGCCTCGGCGCCGCCATATGTCCGCCCGCCAAGTTCCTCTCAGTAACCGAGCGTTTTATCCCATCGCTGTCTAGACATACTCTCCACGGAAGGACTTGGGGCGACGAGACGCAGACACGGCTGGAAGCTCGAAGCCACGCCTGGCTGTGACCTGCAGTCGTGAAACACCCGCCACCCATCCTGGTCTAACCCTGTGCCCGTCCACAGGCCGGTACCCACGCCGCCCACGTCAACGCGCCCACGTCAATGTGCCCACGGCTCTGGGCTGCAGACCGTCTGCTCTTCTGAGCGGCCCAGCCACAGGCCCTCTTGGAGCTGCCGGCCTCCTCCCAACAGCACCTCCCATGTCTGCCATCTCGCTGGAGCCTGGTGGCAGCCTAGCAAGGGGCCCTCCACTGGTGGATGACGCGAGGAGGGAGAGGGCACGGATGACGCGAGCGGGGGGGGGGGGGGCTGTGGCTCTCTGAGCCTCACGTCAGCTGCTCCAGCCCCTGGAGGGGTGACATGCGAGGCCGTGTCCGTGCCCCAGAGTGGGGAGCTGGGGAAGCCCCTCCGTGTCAGAGCCAGAGGGAGCCCTCAGGCCCCACCCAGCCAGCCTGCCGCTCAAGACCGGCCCAAGTCCTCAAGGTCACACACACGCTCACAAGGGGGAGCCCGGGCGGCCAGCAGAGACAAGGGTCACGCAGGGCGAAAGGCGCGCCTGGCGCAGTCTGACGGGCGTTCTCACGAGAGCCGCGGGAGTGAGTCTAAGGACACACCGGTGCCAAGTACCCGAGGTGCCAGCGCACTGCCACCCAGGAGGATGCACAGAGCGCCCCGGGAGGACGTCAGAAGTCCGGGGTGTGACGCCAGCCTCACCGTGTCTGTTCTGAAGCAGAACAGTGGCTGCAGGCAGGGTGCTAATCGTGTGGATTCAGTGCCAGGATGCGGAGGAGGCTGGCGCATGTGACTGGAGACAGCTCTCTGCCTGAGACAGTCCCCAGGGACCCCGCCAACAACGGAGAACGTCCTCCACGGGCAGCACCCGGCCCCTCCGAGTGCCCGGCACAGTGAACACAGACGGGCACTCCGCCGGTGACCCAGGCTCACTGTCTGATGGGACGACAGCCACACGAGCCACCAGCCACGCGGCAGTACAGAGACCACGTCCCAATCTCCATCTCCACGGTCGCTCAGCCCGGAATCTCCCAAAGGGCTCACCGTACGTCCACACCAAAACGGACTCGGGTGTACCACTGAGGGTGTTTCAGCTGGAAGGGCAGGGAGGGGCCAGGGCCGGTCACTGCCAAGGCCCAAGGACAACAGGAGAAGAGGCCGGGCCTCGTGGTCACAGGACGGCCGTGCCAGGCGTCACGTGTGGCTGTGGCCGTGCCCAGTGGGAGGAAAGATCTCTGCTTTTGTCCCTTCACGAGGACAGAGAATCCAGAACACCCAGCACGTGCCTCCTCCAGGGTCACTGGCCAGCAGCAGGCGTCGGGGTGCCGTCAGCCACCCAGCGGCGAGGGGATCGTGGCCCCGGGACTGTCGTAGCTGGCTCAGGGCTGCCTGCATTAGGAATGGGGTGGACGGAGGGACCCTAAACCAGCTCGGGGCTCTGGCAGCAGGGAGAGGAACCTTGGGGGAAGTGGCTCGTTTAGAGTGGAGACCCCAAAGGCCCTGGCAGGTATGATTTCATGCGGGTTTTGGGGGGCTGGGGGTGGGAGCAGGAGTCTGCTTCAAAGGAAAGCAGTGGCTCCAGGTTTCCACAGTGTCAGCAGGACACAGGGTCTGAGCAGAGCCCTCGGCAACCCAGCCGCGTGTGGGCGCTCCGCATGCCTGGCTGTCCGTCCCGCGGCCCTCACCGCTGGCTCTCCGTGGGGCCCTCGCCAGGGGACTGAGGGTCCCACAGCTAGGTGGTGGCATTACCCGAGGGTCCTCTGCACCTGAGATTCCAGGTGTTCTTATCACCAGCCCACTCTGCCCACTGCCCCGATGCTCGGAGCAAGCTGGCCAGCAAGAAAGAGCTGCTCTGTGCCCGCACTGGTCCTCAGGGGCAGGTGACGGGAGCAAAGATG